AAGCAACACAACATTGTAAAGCAATTATCCTCCAATTAAACATAAATTTTAAAAATAAATAAAAAAGAGAAAAAAGAAATTACCTATGATTCATGACCAAAGAATTTCTAAGAACAAAGATGTCTGCTATTTAATATTTAGGATTTTTAATTGTTATGATTATAACCCCTTTGCAAACTTCCAGCAACCTCTGTTGTAGATACAGATGCCTTGAGAGAGTGATTTTTTGGAGAGAAAATCTAGGAAAAGAGGCCTTGATCCAAATATGGCTTGCTGTTCAGTAGAGATGGGAACAGTGATGGAGATCAATTCAGGGGAGAGAACTTAACCAAAGCAAACATTCAGATTAGTTTTCTAAATCAAGGGTTCTGGATCTCTTCAAAGCTATGCCAACCTGATTATTTATTTTTAGTGTTAATTTGTTTCAGATAAATCTACACCTTCCATTACTAATTCAGTAGAATATTTATCTTAAATTGTAAGACCCATTAGGAAAAAAGTCAAAAATTGGGAAAGACCGGGAGCCTCTCCTGGGGTCCGCAGCTCTACAACGATGAGAAGCCATGCTTCTGTGATAAGACGTAGGGGTTGCTCTTAGAGAATCCTTAGAGTGCATATTAATATGCCAAGCTTCAAGTGTTTTAAATATGTGTAAAATTCATAACTATATATTCTATAATTACAACATTATATTCAATAATTTACAACAATAAAATCTAAAGCTCCCACTTTGTTTGATAGATGCTGTGAGAGCAAGACTAAATCTTGCCCTTAAGGAAGGCATTTTGATTTTTTTTTAAATTAAGTCTCAGAATGCCAAAACCAAAACCAAACAAAGACAAAAAATTAGGAAAAGAACTAAGACTCTTGTTGTAACTTTATTCAAAATTAGTGTTCTTTTATTCTACACCTCCTGCCCTAATTATCCAGGGCTAGTTTCTTGGATGGTTTATGTATTTTTGTGGCACGGGGCAAGGGATATACTCACTGGCCTCTCTTTGACAGTTTTTCTGACACTGATTAATCTCAGCTTCTCTCTTGGGTGCTGTAATGAAATTTGTCTTATCTATTATAGAAAAGTCGTGGCCTTTCCTCCCAGAGGCTTCATAGAAAGTCCCATATTGTGCTGGCAGTTTACTCTAATGACCCTTTGACATCCATGTAGCTGTGTGCTTCTCCAGATTTACCTATTGCATTCTACAGCTTCACATCTTTGGAAATCTTTGCATTCTTGCAAGGAGTATCACTTCTACTTCTAAGCAAGCATCTATCAGAATCTAGTCCAGAGGATTTGTTTTGTCTGTTTTTGTTCTTTCCTTTTGTTTCCTGATATTATCTCTACTGTCTACTTCTCCTAGGGGTCTCTACCCATAAGATTTATGACATTTCTTAGGTTCATAGGAATGAACCTAAGATCCCAGGTAAGAGTAAAATGATAGAAGGGTAAGATGATAGAAATTTCAAATAAGTGAAATGGAACAAAACAAAAGCAAAGAGGGCTTGTGATACTCTTCCGGCTTGGAACTCTGGGAAGAAATGCCTTACAGATTTGTCATTTGCCAAAACTGAATGGACAGAGCAGAATCAAAGTAGTAACATGATAAATATCTTAGATAAAGAAGTATCTGAAACATACTTCACACATATCAGCTTGAGAATGCCTCATAACAACTAGATGACATCAGGCAAGATCTAGAATTTTCAAAAAGATCTTCTGAAGGGTTTGAAAGTGCTGACCGTGTTGGTGAGAGACAGGATGGGGTGTGGTTTCATGACAAGGAAGCCAGTGTGTTCCCTGCAGGGACAGACCCAGTGAGGAACTGAGGACATGAACAGGGAATTCCACCCGGTTCCCTCCAGAGAGGAGGGGGCTGGTTGCACGTTGTGGAGGTCAGAAAGGGTTTAACTGAGGACACAGCAGAAAAAATTGGGGCAGAGATATCTGCTCCCCCCACGCCCAATCCTCCATGAAACCTGCCATCACTCCATGCTTAGATGACAGCTGGGGAGCAGTGAAGAAAAAAAGGGTAGAAGAGGAAAAACTCTTAATTGTTTGAAATAACGTGGTTATTTTGTAAACTACTCAGTGACTACATCTAAATCTTGAATTTCTAAATTCTGAGCCACAATGAGGGGATTTCCTGATCAAACTCAGTTCAGTTAAATAAAATAAATTCACATTCTTGCACCTCTCTGCCCTATTGTTTATTCAACCTTGTATTGATTTGTTTCCATACACAGAGAATTTTACTTGTATTTGTGTACCTGAAATTAAAGAAGAAATGTTGATGCAATTGCAATGAAAATTTGATAGCCAAAGTAAATGAAAAAAATAGATTATGTCCTAAAATTTTTAAATAATTGTGCAGCTTTTAACTTCATATTTCTCATGTGGATCTGACCCAAGTAGAGGACTTTGACAGTTTTCACATAAAAAGTGTCAACATGTTCTTTAAACAGTGGTTACCTGACCAAACAAGACAGGGCCATAAAAGCACTAAACTGTGATGCACTGCCTTTTTTCTAGAGGTGAATAGCATTAGAGAATTCCAGCATGTTCTCTTCCTATTAAATTAATGCCACAAGCACTACAAAGTCTGACCTGAACAAGAGAGACACATAACCTGTGCAAGAAATCCTTGCTCAGAAAGGGCAGTACAGAACACGAGAAATAAGACAAATTGTCTTTTTGCCATGGAATATTAGCCTTTGTGAGCCCTATAATATCTGCCTATGTACCTTCCAAACAGGAAAATTCTTGAGAATTGCATCTGTCCATCATTATCTTTGAGCCTCCCTACAGTTGACCAGTTTGCCTTTTTTCATTTATGAAGAATTTGAAATTCTTCTTTACTATATGTGGCACAGACTGTACTTTATTATCACACAAATATAAACAATAGAGGAGTAGCTGGCTGAATTAATGCATAATAATATGAAACAGAGAAAAGGAAATGTGACTTGAGTCTCTGAATCAGTCTTTGCTTTGTTCTGTAATCTGAAAAAAATCCTGTCAATTTAGCAAATCATCTATCAATGTGACAGTTTAATCCAGCAGTACACATCTTAAGGTTGCCCTTAGAATGTTGGTCACTTGCCACAGGTTGTGATTAACCATTTGAAATGTAGAACATGAGACTGATCAACTGAATCATTAGTTTTAATTAATTTAAATTTAAATTAAAAGTAAATGCATTGTAAAATGTTTCCCATTAAACATACTTTTGTTATTTTGGTTGAAGTGATTTCACTTTAAACATTGTATCATGTTAGATGTCACTGTTGTATTATAATGTGTGTTGGCTGCTTTTTGTATTATAGGGTATGCTGAATCATTTCTAGTATCACATATAACCAGATGCTTCTAGTATTATATCCAAACAAATTACCTATCTAGTTGGTATCAAATGATTGGTTTAGTTTAAGTGATTATTTGTAGACATTGTACAACATTTGTACAATGTAGTAGTACAAATTATTTGTAGTGATTATTGTAACACTGAAATAGTAAAAAAGAAATGATTATTTTAATGTTATGCAGACAACATAATTTATAGTGATACTTATTGTAAATAGAAACCATTGTATTAGAGGTCTATTGCTGTGTAACAAGTTACTCCAAAATTTAGTGGATTAAAACAACAGCTATTTATTTCCTCCCAGTTTCCTGCGTGATATAGTATGGTATGGGTTGGCTGGGTGCCTCTGACTCTGGATCACTCTCAGGACTGCTATCAAAGGTGTTGATCAGCCTGTGGTCATCTTGATTTTTTTTTTTTTTAAATATGGTGACTTTATTTCCATTTCTTTACAGTTCCCACATCTGTAAGAATCTTCATCTCTATAACACAAAAATATCTCAAGAAAGCATGTTACAAGATAGTATATATAAGCAACAGTTTGGCAGAATTCTACTTTCTATTCCCCCAAAAGATAATAGATTTTAAAATTCAAAAATAGCCATTAGTTTTATTTAACATGTTACTTTACTGTTTAAAATACCATGCGCTAGTTAAATAAGTCATCAAGACTGTATACAAATAAAATATTACACAAAATATATTTAAGAAAATGTTTGGTATTTGATCTGAACAATAAATAAAAACACAGGCACTTCTACACTGAAACAGGAAAGCAGTCACTACTTAGGATAATAATTTTGTATAAGTAACATGTAACCATATGTTAATCCTGCAGTTTTAAACTGACAAACCAGGTCTACAATTTCAATCTTTTCACTTAAAGTTCAAAAGTTACATATGCTTTCCTGGTCCACAATGAAAAATTATAAATACAATATGGTTGCCAGGGACAATGCAATCTTCAGTTTGAAGATTATGGAATCATACTCATTATTTTCAAATACTAAAAAAGAGAACTATCATGATACCACCCAGGAGACCAAATGCAAGATAGTTAAGCTTTCTCATGATGATCATAAGACCATAACTTAATAAACTGGATAAATGTCACCCAGCGATGCCCACTTTGCAAAACCGATTGATTAGGTTAACACAAGGAAATACTGTTGGGGTGGCAGGGCAATTCTGACAAAAGTCAATTTTTTCTAGATGATTTTAAAACTTCATCTAAATTTCATGAAAACAAATATAATTGCATTTCACTAAAACCACTGAGTCATATAAAACAATGTCTCTGTAGCCAATAGGTTTATGAATACCTAAACTGATCATTTACTCATATGGAAAATAGGATTATCATTGTATGAGGGCAAAACAAAAATATGGTCAAATTCTAGAAACATGATTTCAGATGATGAGGGGGACGAGTTAGAAAATAATGACCACTGGCTAATAGGAAGGGTCAGAATCATTCATTTTGCCATATTCTACATAAAAATATTAGCATCTTCTGCTTTCCCTCTTCAGGAAGTACCACACTGAAGGGTTTAGAGGCCGTCAGATGGGTATGACCTATAAAGGCAATGTTGATGGTTTTACATAGAAGTGACCTCTAATGGAAGAGAACACAAATGGGAACTATTTGAGATACATTTCTATGTAAAATGTAGTTTGCATATAAATCAGCATTTTTAAATGAGCACTCTGCAACCGAGACCAAATATCAATCATCTCTTGAGGTTTTCTACTATGTACCAACATCAAATCTACATAGGAACAAATGTTACCCCTGCTTTTCTCTTCTATATCAAATGTCCTGAAGCCTTTGTGTCTCTCCGGAGCGAGGCCAAGTTTCTGAAGGCACATTCCAGTATAAACGTCATCGATGGGGTAGAGAAGGACCCGGTCAGTTACATTGTACAGTCTCAGGGCCAGGTGGCCGGAGTAGAGGAATCCACCTCCTCCTGCATAAGGCGGGAAGACGCCAGTGTAAACAGCTTCCGGGATGTAGTACTTCAGTTTCTTATCCCGATGAGGTCCAGCATTATGAATCACGTCACCAATAAACAAATCTTTGGCTTTGTTCCCGGATAAGCTATTCAAGTAATTCAGGAGGTGATGGGTGTTCACAAAAACATCATCATCGCCCTGGAACACGAACTCGGCATTTGGGCAGGAAGTGCTCACCCACCTGAGAAAGAGTACTTCTTTCAGAGACAAGTTGAAGAATGTATCTCTGTAGTTCCACAAAAGAATGTCTTGGTGCTTCTCACTCTCAAATTTCAGCACATCTGAAAGGTCTGGATGGTTGTCTTCTGCGGGAGTCTGGCCCAGTAAGAAGACTCCCACCACCGTTTGGTTCCCCACACTGGTTTCTTTGCCCCAAGATTCCCGAATCGCTTGCCTTCTATCGACATGTGAAGTTAGGGACTCAATAGCCAGCAATAGAAGGGCTTCTTTGCACACTTGTCTGGTTGGTCTATAAGCAGTGAATAATTTCGACATCTCAGATACAGCAGAAAATCTTTAAATCTGTCTGGCAAACTGTCAAAACCTGAAACTACTGACATGACCCTCAGGTCAGGTTCACAGTAATTCAGATGGCCTATATTGGAGAATCCGTATGCTTCTCCCGTCTGGTTGGCTAACGTGTTCAAAATGGGATTGAACCTCCTGTTCAGCTTTTCTTGTTCCTTGTTCCAATATGCCCGAGGAGGGTCAGGTATCTTCCAGAACCTTTCTTTAGGTATTATTACTTCCCCCTTTCCATTTTTTTCTTGGCTACTGCTTTTGGAGACTTCACAATCAAATAAATGAAGACATTTACCATCATCAGGATTCCCAACAACTTTATTCTTCGACGTCCAACACTCATTTCTCATATCTTGTCCGGGAGCAGCTCCTGCTCGGCGGGGCGGGGGCGGGAGATCGCGGCTGCATCCACGTCCCGGCCGCTCCGCGCGGCTCAGCCCGGCGTCCACCGCCGCTCTCGCCCCATGCGTGGCGCCCGCGACGGGGCAGCCCGGCGGCGTCGGCGGCGGGGTGGCTCCGCCTCGGCTCGGCTCGGCTCGGCCCCAGCCTCGGCTCAGCTCCCGCACTTGTTGCCACCTCGGCCGCTGCCAGGCTCCTCCATCTTGATTTTTAATTAGAGGAGGATCTATTTCTTCGCTCATATAAATGTTGTCAAGTTTCAAGTCTTCACTGACTGTTGGCTCAAGACAACAAACCGTGGCCACATGGGTCTTCCCATCAACAAAGGATTAACTTGTCCAGAGTAAGGGCTGTGAGAGAAAGATATAATGAGAGGGAGACAGAGATAGATACACACCGTATACAGCGGCATCAGAGTATCAGATAGGAGAATTATGACAACAGGTTCAAAGACCTGAAAAAAATTAAGAAAGACCTAAAAAAATGGGGAGATGTATCGTGTTTATGAGTGCAAGGACTCAGTATTTTTAATGTACAAACTCTTTAAATTGATCTATAAATTGAATGCAACACAAATTAAAATCTCAGTGAGTTTTTCTGCACATATTGAACAGTTATATCTAAAATGAATATGGAAATGCAAAGGACCTAGAATATCAAGATAAGCTTGAAAAAATAAGGTCAGAAGTCTTTATTACAAAGCGTAGTAATCAGGACAATGTGTTACTGATAAACACATAGACAAATATTTCAATGGAAAAGAATACTGATTCTGGAAATAGATCTATGAGAAGAGGAAGACTGGCTAAGAAGGTATAAATATGATGCCAAGACACATCCCAGAAGACAGCAACCCAGGTTGAAGGAGAAGTGAAAGAGGTCCAGAGAGCTATTTAACTGACTCAAGTAGCAAGCAAGCTCTGAAGGGTAGTTGAACCCGAAGATTTGTCCTGATATACTGGCTGATAAATTGGGAGCAGCTGAATGTGGCAGTCCTATCTGCTGGGAAAAAGGACTAACCAAATATATGAATGGCCAACTCCCTTAAAAAATATCCAACAAATCCCAGAAACTACATTAAGAAGTTGCACCTTACAGTGACATTCACCTTAATGCCTAGTATTACAGGATAAGATGCCTGAACTTCTTCATCATGCCATATCTCAGGAGGGTGGAGCATAAAATATCCTGCCCAAGAAAAGAATAGACAGCCCTTTACTTTTTTATTCAACATGAATAAGCTTTTCAGTTGTCGTGTACATTATTGTTCAGGTGACACAGTGAACAAAACACCTGAACGTTCTTTAAAATCGTAGGAAATTTAATTGTTCCTATGCCTTACATAAGATTTAGGAATAAGAATAATTAAAATTTACGTCCTTATCACTGAAATAGGAACAAAAGGAAATATTTCATGTCTGTTGATTGCATTTTCACTATTGAGTCACATTCACTGGATCAGTTTAAAGGTGTTTTTTTTTTTAATATATCAACAATAATATAATGAATTTAATTTAATAAATAATGACAAAATCTTGGCTCTGGAATATTAGTTTTCCAGATAATTCAAGCTAAAATAATTAAAATTCTATCAAGTCATTTACTCCATAGATTTATTCTCACATATCTTTTTTTTTTTAAAAAGTCTGCATTTTGGGATTTGGCATGTATTATAAAGTATAAAGAAAAAAGATTTAAAAAAGTGCGATAAAGTTGATATTCTAGATTTCATATACAATCTTGGATTTGGTGCTTTGCTAACTGAAATCACCTGGTAATGAAATGTGAGTCTTCCTCCCAGAGCAAGGCTGCAACCTCTATGGCTTATCCCTGACCTCCATTATTTGAAAAAATAAACTTAGCCCTGTGTCCTGAAGTTGAAAAAAAAGGACACTGATGCATGAATGTGTGGTGAAATTTTAAAAATATGCAATGACTCTTGGGAAATGTACACAACCCGTTAGCAAGAAGAAATAAGAAAGAGGGAGAAAACCTAAACTCCCTTGCTCCTCTGAGTTGTCAGGGCACTGCAGATTCTCCATGATGTTCCCTATGACAATACCTTAGCTAGTTTCTATTTTTAAAGTACTACTATGTCTCTGAAACAGGCTGGCTGCCTTATCTGTAAGAATATTCTACCTCTTTACTACCTGAATAGCCATGGTAAGCAAGCTTCTGACTGCAGTTGTAACAATTAGCATTTCCTTTGTTTTAATTTTATAAAAATTCAGTCACTACTTCCAAAAAAAGCAAACAAAAATTCTTCAAAGACAAATCATTTTTCCAGCTAGTGGCGGTCATTAAATATAGACTGTGCCTAGTAGCCCTTATTTTTGGCCATGACTATTTTCATATTGCTAGGAGACTTTCTCCCTAACATCATGTCTTATTCTCATCTAAGGTGACCAGTCACAATTATGTGAATTGAACCCTTTTAACTGAGGGGAAGAATAATCTGCCCTTCTAAGACACACTGGAATTTTTAGATATTGATAAGGTTTTAGAATAAACTGGCAGCTGAAAGATCTATAGACAGGTTTTATTTGGTTTACTTCAGTTTCTTTGTTAAGTTTAGCCAATATTTTGAAAACAGATGATTTAATATGAAAATCTACATTTCTAGTTTCTCCTCAAAAAGAATCTCACCACTGTGAGTCTGAATTCCTGTCAATCATTAATAGAACTGAGAAACTGCTTTTCTCTGTACAAAAGTAAAACTCTCCAGTTTGTCTTTTTGCATGAAGCAGCTTCATTCATTGTGTTTTTATCTGATTCCTATAGGCTATGGTTTTTGGAATTTCTAGAATTGGGAGATGATGGAGAATCATAGAGCTAATAAATCATGTGCTAATTCCTCTCCTGAACATACAACCCAACAAGAAAGAAGCAGAAGCAAAAGATCAAAACACCAGCTTCAGTTTTAATAAAAATGAATTAAAAGGTGAGATACGTGCCAAAATATGTTTGCAGATGTCCCCCACCTCCTTGTACAGACCAAGGTGTGGACCACTCAAGGGTCTAAGGAACAGACTCTCACCAGATTCTTGCCTCACATGGGTCTCAGACAGAGAGGGGAGAAAAAAAATACTAATCTCCAGAGCTTTCGTTTTCTTTTTAGATTAGCTCTGTCCAAAAAAGAAACTTGGACAATGAATGTCAGACTTTTGCCAACGACCAATTAGCAATTCATTCCTTCCTCAAAGAGTGGGAATGGTGTGAAGAGAGGCCATGTGGAGAGGGCGCTCCATATGGAAACACCAGTCAAGGAGAATGGTTTCTTCCCTAAAATTAGTGTTTCCTAGTAAAACAATAAGTGAGAAATGAATCCATATGAAGGGACCCTGTAATAGCAGATAGTGAGTGAAATAAACTTGAAAGGGTGGTGACAGTAACTTGAAAAGATAGCAGAGACTTCTGAATACCTATCAAATAGTTTTTCCAATTCTTTAACAAAAACAAATTTGATTTTAGCTGGGGGTATTGTCACACAAGTAAAGGACCAACTTTCCTTACAACTAGGTTTGGTCATGTAAGAAAATCTGGTTGCTGAGGTATAAGTGGATATGTGATGGGAAAATTCCAAGCAGTCTTCCTGCAAGGATGGAAGAAGCATATTCCTTTTCCATTTTTATTTTATTTCTAATGGCTTGAAAAACAAATGTTGTGGCTGAAGCTTATTTATTACCACAGCACAGCCTAACACACTTGACTAATGAAAAGTGAAAGTCATTCAGTCGTGTGCAACTCTTAGTGACCCCATGGACTATACAGTCCATGGGATTCTCCAGGCCAGGATATGGGAGTGGGTAGCCTTTCCCTTCTCCAGGGGATCTTCCCAATCCAGGGATCAAACCCAGGTCTCCTGCATTGCAGGTGGATTCTTTACCAGCTGAGCCACAAGGGAAGCCCAAGAATACTGGAGTGGGTAGCCTATCCCTTCAGCAGATCTTCTTGACCCAGGAATCAAACCAGGGTCTCCTGCATTTCAGGCAGATTTTTTACCAACTGAGCTATCAAGGAAGCCCTTGACTAATGAAAGCTGCCTAATATTCTAAATCCTAAGTACTTAAGTTTTATTTAAAGCATCTCTTCCTCAGGGAAGCTTTCCCTTATATAACTCTAGCATCTCACTTTCTACCTCTCCTGCGAATATTTCTGAAGTCTTCTGTGCACCTCCGTATCAACAATTGCGGACAGAAAGGAGAGGAAGAGGGACTGGTAGAAGGAGAAGTCAAGTATCATGTAGGTTCACTGGCAGCTTTTGCTGCTCACTGACCCTTCAGAATTGTCTTGAGTAGAGCCAAAATGTGCAGACTTTGAATCTCACATATCTGTCATTGGATGCAGGCTATCCAAGAAGAAATTTGGCCTTGGTCGAGATGGTTTCTTATAGATGAGGCAATTCCTAAAGGCGTTGATGGCTATTGGCAATCTGCTGGCAGCACTTCCAGGAACTAAACAAGATCTCCACTGAAAGGAGGTCAGAGTTGCAGACTGCAGTTTCCATTATAGTAGTCTCCCCTCAATTCCACAAATGTGCCCTTGCCCTGGTCCCATACGACCTTTGTATATGT